GGGGAGGGGGAGGAGGAAGGGGGAGGGGGAGGAGGAAGGAGGGAGGGGGAGGAAGAAGGGGAGGAGGACCCAATTCTTTTATATAACTCTATCCCCACCTTTAAAGTAGCTTAATTTTCTTATCTAACACAAAAGCAATAATCTGTGTTTTGAAGATCAGCTAAGTTTGATTTTTGATTTTTATTGTTGTTTTACCAGGGATTGAACTCAGGGCCTCACGCTTGCTAGGCAAGCACCTAGGCTGTACACACTCCCCTCCTTTTGGTATGTTGTATTTTCAGTCAGAGAGGGTCTGGGGACTTTGGACAGGATGAATTGTACTGCAATCTCCCCATCTCATCTGCCAGTGTAGCTCGGATTATGTCCTACAATGCCTGATTTATTTTTGAGACAGAGCCTCAATCATCTTTTTGACCAGCATTGTCCCAAACTACCACTATTCTGAGTATCTAAAACTATAGGCATGGATTACCATGCCTAGCCTGCAAGATTCTTATAATGAGAAGAGTTTTTAAACTTGGTCTAGTGCATAATTGCAAATTATTGCTCTCAAGCCTTTTATGATTCTAAAATCTGTTTTCTGGTACAGAAAACATTAACAATGTATTCATGATCAATTCCATTAGCATCCTATTGAAAAAATATATTTTCCATTAATAAGTCTAATTGCTTTTTGGTAATGACAACTGAATACTGAACTAATGGTCTGTGAGGATTTGATCCTGCCAAAATGAAAACCACAAGATGGGACTAATTATCAATTTTATACTCTTGTCTGGGGAAAAAAGTTAACATTTCATAAAGAATCTTAAAGAAAAGAGCCAGGCCTGGTGTCTCATGCCTATATTCCTTTCTACTAGGAAGGGAGGCTGAAATTCAAAGGATCATAATTCTAGGCCATCCTAGGCAAAAAAAGCTTATGTGACATCATCTCAACAGAAAAGCTGAGGATGGTAACATACCTGTCATCCTAGCTATGGAGGTAAAACCTAACAAAGAGGATCACAGTCTAGGCTGGCCTAAAAGAAGAAAACGAGACCCTATCTCAAAAATAATCAGAGAAAAAAATGGCTGGAGGAATGGCTCAAGTGGTGAGTATCTGCTTAGCCATCAGAAGACCCTGAGTTCAAACCCTAGTACAACCATAACATTTTAAAATGAATATAGAAAAAGAATACTAATGAAGCATTTGCTTGTATTTCCAGCCGAGGCTTATTATAACCTACCATACTTTATTTAATATCAAAAAACAATGGAGAACCAACTTCAGCTCTGAGAAGTTAAACCTCTCTCTCCAAAGTTTCACGAACAGTTTTGTGACAGGCAGGCAGGGACCAGAGCTCTCCCACTCCTGATTCTAGTATTTCTCATTGCAGCTACCAACTCCTGAATGACCACATAAGCCAATTTCAGTGCTTATTATGTGGTTTGTTTCTTGAAAAAAAATAAATGTATTAGAAATCATGTGATTAAAAAAAATATCTTTCCTGGTAAAGAAATTCATTTATTGCTGCTATGAAGCAGGCTATTTTTAATTTAAAATTTGTTGGCAGTAGAACCACACAGATTATGAGAAAATCTCATTTCAGCTGATTTTCTTTTCTAAATCCAACCCACCCTCCCCTCATCCAAAGCAAATGCTGGGAAGGGCTTGGAAACGGAACTTATTTATCCAATAGACACTTACCCAAGGAAATGGATTGCAGGGAAATTAGCATGTCTTGAATGATGGTATTCCTGAAATGTCCATCAGTCATTGTAGAACTGGCTTCTGGAGTGATATTCTCAAAATGGATTATTGTCCCTGAATTTTTAATAACAATTTAGCAGTTCAAAATACTGACAGTGATGCATGATGACAGCTTTTAAAGAAAAACAAAGTGTTCTGGCTTTCTATGTTACATAAATACAATACAATTGTAACTCGGCAGCCAGTGTCAGAATCACTCTCAATGAAGATATGTTGGATCCATCTGCCAAGAGAAGGTCAAAAGCATCTATAGAAAATAAATCATGGCAAACACAGAACTGGCTAAAGGTTAGGGATCTAAAGGACAAACACACATTTAAAAGCACAAATCACCTCTCATATAGTAATAATTTAAATAGCCCCTCTCCTCTGACTGATAAAGAGCTGGCTTAAACAGCTGCATATATTTCCAGTAATACTGTGGTGTTGAAAGATCAACAAATGAGAAATGTAAAAGGCTGGGTATGTTGGTGAGTGCCTGTAATTCCAGATGCCCTGGGAAGCAAAGATAGGAAGATCACAATTCAAGGGCTGATACAGCAAAAGTTAACTAGACCCTAACTCAAAAACAATCGAAGTGTGGTGCTGCACACCTGTGTCCCCAATTATTTGGGGCAGAATGAAGAGGATCAGAGTCCACAGGCTGGCAGCCCATATCTGAAAAAAAAAAAAAACTCAAAACAAAAGGGTGGGGCTGGGAAAGTGGCTCAGTGGTAGAGTGCTTTGCCTACATGCATGAAGCTCTGGGTTCAATTCCTCAGCACCACATAAACAGAAAAGGCCGGAAATGGCACTATGGTTCAAGTGGAAGAGTACTAGCCTTGAGCAAAAGAAGGTCAGGGACAGCACCAGGGCCCTGAGTTCAAACCTAGCAAAATAAATAAAATTTTAAAAAATAAAATAAATTTTAATTTAATTTAAAAAGGGCCGGGGTATGGCTCAATTGGGAGGGGTGCTTGTTGAACAAGACACAGAGTTCAATTCCCAAGTAGAGAAAAACAAAAGAAAGAAAACAGAAACTTTTTTTAAGGGGAAGAAAAGGAAATAAAAAGAGAAATGTAACTGGCAATCTCACTTAGCTCCATCAGAAGTTTCATTATTCTGCCTGGTGCCCCAAGACTAGCTATCAGCCAGCCTGGAAAACCAATATATATCTGAACTGTCTCCAGAAATGTCATTTCACTGATATTCTAGGAATGTCTCGATGACTTAGTCATAACTTGTGAATGGCGCACAGGAGGAGACGTAGCCTGTGAGCAGCAGGTTCCATTCTGCCTCCTGGAGGACGGGAAGGAGTCTCAAGGTGCAAAGGGCTATTGCTTTCCTGGTTCTCTCAGCACCCTCTCCAACGTCTCAGCAGCCAGAATTCACCTCCCCTTGCTAAGCCGGCACCATATGCAAGCAAGTCAGCTCAGCCTCTATGAGCACAGACAAAAGGAGACCTTAGGAATCATATTCAGAAGGAAGTATTACAAGAATACAATGGCGCTCTGCTTCAATCAAGAAAGACTAAAGCTAAAAACAATGTTCTTGCCATTGCATCCCATAGCTCGCTTTCAACAGAATCAATATTTATCAAAACCCACATCTCCCAAAGGAAAGTTCTGCAAAAATAAAAACTTCCTGCCTCCGTTTCCTGATCTTTACTTCTACCACAGCCCTATGTACACATACCCTGAAGGATAATTAACGCTGAGATCTAATCCTTCACCAATGACCTATAAACTCGATGAGGGCAGGGCGCTTCTGGTCCACTTGCACACCACACCTGGAGCTCCTCATGTTCCACACAGTGGGTGTGTTTAGTACACACAGGATAGTCTTCCAGGGGTGAATTTCCTGAGAGCCTCTTGCTCTGTTTGAAGCCATTCCCAACACAGTGCTAGGCACACGGTCATTTCTGAGTTAATATATTATAATACAAAATGATCCCTAATCACTCCTCTCCACTTCCTTTAAATAACTCCTATTTACTAAATTCAGGAGGTAGATTTGACAGATTGCCATCAAGTCCAGTCTTCAGGGGTCTTTTCTGATAAGGCCTTCCTACCACACATACAACAACCATACACAGCCCACTCCCTAACACAGATAAAGAAAAATTCCTAGCCAGGCACTGGTGGCTCATGCCTGCAATCCTAGTTACTCAGGGTGCTGAGATCTGAAGATCATGGTTTAAAACCAGCCCAGGCATGCAAGTCTTAGGAGACTCTTATTTCTGCCTCAAAAGAAAACTGGAAGTGGAGTTCTGCCTCAAATGGTAGAGTGCTAGCCTTCAGCAAAATGAAGATCAGGGACAGAGTCTAGGCCCCTGTACTGGCATAAAAAAAGAAAGAAAAAAAAGGAATTTCTAGCCTGCAGTAGGGTTAATTTCTCTATTTTCTTATTTTGAAATATAATTCAAATGAAAAGTTTTTTTAGGTGTGTGTGTCCGGTCGTGGGGCCTGAACTCTGGGCCTGGGTGCTGTCCCTCAGCTCTTCAGCTCAAGGAGAGCGCTCTACCATTCAAGCCACTTCCAGCTTTTTCTGCTTTTGTGGTGCTAAGGAATAGAACCCAGGGCCTCATGTATGCCAGGCAAGCACTCTACCACGGAGCCACCTTCCCAGCCCGACTTACTTATTTTAAATGAAGAAAATACAGAGGCATTTAAAGCAAAAGGAAAACTACTTTTCACGCACATTCCCGACCTATTCTTTGGAGTTGTCTTCTATAGATGCCAAATGAGTAGACACAATAACATTCTGTTGGGGATGAGGTCAACTTTAATTTGCCAATCATAGAAGACACGTTCACTTTTTTGGGAGGAGGAAGAGAAAGAAAAGGAAATGTTAAGATCTGGGTTCATTCAAAGTCCTATGCCAAAAAAAAAAAAAAAGCAGACAGTAAATGCTCTTCTGACCAGTCACAAACTCACACAAATCTGATGGAGTGTATTTTTTTCTGACAGAAGTCTTCAACAAGTTTAAGATAAAGACTCACGGTGGATGTGTATTGCCCAAAGCAACACAGAGAACTCCCTAGGTTGTAAAATAGGACCTGACTTTCTGTAATTTCTCCTTCCTGGCACCCCTCCCACCACACTGACTCACCAAATTTCACGGAGTAGAAGATCTATGAGTGATCCTCTCTGCTCAGCCAATATGATCTTCTCAGCAGACATTTCCTACTGAAATGGCAAATGTGGGCTCTTCTTTGCTTGTGGCATCCTCTCCCTACCCGCCCCCTCAAGGCTCTCGGATGTCTCTCAAGTGCAAAAATTATCCACAGGGAGAAAAAAAGAGGAAAGGCAGTAATCCCATCCTTGGTCAACGTCCTCCAAGGCTGCTGACTTTGCTCTTATCCTTTAATTCTCAGCAGTCATCATCAAATCTCAGTAACACCATCTCAGCAGATACAATCTCCATGTCCTGCCTGAACTAGACTCAGGTTTTCATACTGAGCTCTCTGATACCTGAACATAGCTCAGGCAGCTGTATGCCAAAGACTTCTTGTTCTACAGAACAACATCTCTCTCCTCCCTTGTGCTGAAGTGTATTGACTTAAGATGCAAATTAAGAACAGGAGCTAAAATAATGGCACTGGCTCCTCCAAATCAGCTTTGGATTCTTTTTTCCATGTTTCATTGTGAATTTGAAACCCAAGGTTGTTTTTAAGTTTGGGAAAGAGATAGGAAGTGTGTGTGTGTGTGTGTGTGTGTGTGTGTGTGTGTTTGTGTGTTTGTGCATGCACATAAGCACACATACACTTCTATTGAATTGGGGCTATGACCTTTATATGTTTACATAATGTTGATCTCACTATCAACTGGGTGCCTATAATCAATCAAATTCTTAAGCACCTGAATTCACTTCTAGTCAGCAATACTTTCTTCTTAAGTTTTCAGGCATGACAGACACCATGTCTGGAGATGATAAAGTATATGGGAGTCTGTCCCAGGAATATCACCATTTCAGTCTCTGGTAAGAGTATCTGCCACGTTAGATGGAATAAGAAGAGTAGGGAGGCAAGTTGTGCATTATCCTAATAGATTAAGAAAATATAATCCCATTTGGATCCTTTCCTGGGCCTCTATCCAAACCGTGAGATAGCTTTGCTAGTCATTAAATGTACAGGGAGAGGATGAGCTCTTTGTTCATAATTATATTGCATTTCTAAAGGGCACAGCATTCCTTTCTTTATGAGTGTAATCCAATCAGGAAAATAATTGATCGATAAGAGGATTGTTTGATAAAGAAACTATTGCTTTAGACTGCAATCAGTATCCTCATTCCATTGCAAGAATTTAGTTTAGGCATGTACCACTGATGAACAGTTACTTCCAGGAAATATTTTAAAATAGTTTCAATTGCTTCTTTATCAATTCAGCAGATTGTTGTCAACTTGTAGTTAGGGTCAGGTTGTTAAAAAAAATAAGGATAACTAAGAGTGCTCAAGATCTGGAGTGATGGGAAATACAAATGAACACTGTGTATGTCCTGAAACAGCAGATTATAACATGGTATTAATTTGTTGTGTGCTCATTAAACAATAATAATATGTGAGTGATTTGCCAGGAGGACATTTGGTTACTGTTTTATTTTCATTTCATGTTTCCGTGCCAACCCATCCTGTGGTCAATGTAAGATGGGTTTTGTTGGTTATGTTATCAATGTCATATTATATGTAGATTATTATAATTAAATTCATAATTGGAAATTTCAGGCCTTGGGGAACTAATACTGAGCTAATAGGTTTTGATTGTTGTTTAAATTTCTTTCTTTCTTTATTTTTTGTTGTTGGTCGTGGGGCCTGAACTCTGTCCTGGGCGCTGTCCCTCAGCTCTTCAGCTCAAGGCTAGCGCTCTATCACTTGAGCCACAGCACCACTTCCAGCTTTTTCTGTTTATGTGGTACTGAGGAATCGAACCCAGGGCTTCGTGCATGTAAGGCAAGCACTCTACCACTGAGCCACCTTCCCAACTCTGTTGTTTAAATTTCTAGCTATCTTCTTTATTCTTTCTTGCTTCTGCTCTCACTTGGCTTTCTTACTCAACACTGCTACTGAGTCATAGTACCACATTCAGCTTTTGGGGGAAATTAATTGGAGATAAGAGTATCATAAATTTTTTCTACTAAGCTGGCTTAAAATTACTGTGTTCAGCGGGGCGCCGGTGGCTCACGCCTGTAATCCTAGCTACTCAGGAGGCTGAGATCTGAGAATCGCCATTCAAAGCCAGCCCAGGCAGGAGAGACCATGAGACTCCTATTTCCAATAAACCACTAGAAAACAGGAAGTGGCACTGTAGCTCAAGTGATAGAGTGCTCGCCTTGAACTGAAGAGCTGAGGGACAGCACCCAGGTCCAGAGTTCAAGCCCCATGACCGACAAAAAAAAAAAATTACTGTGCTCAAATCTCAGCCTCTCAAATAGCTAGGATTACAGGCATGAGCCAATAGCTCCTGGTATCTTCATTCTTTATGAGGTTCCTTACATGTAGTATATACTGGTCTCTAGCTACTAGCTTTACTAAACTATGCCAAAAGCCAAGCTAACCATCAAATTACATGTCTCTAATGTGTTTATGAGCTCCATATCCCAAGTAAATGATTATTCTTTTAAGATGTACATGAAAATTATTCTATTTCATTTTCAGATAAGGGGAGATTTCTTGCTGATTAAATGGTTTTTTGAAGGTAAATTTTAACCTAATTTGGGTTTTCAATTCTAGATCATGTTTCTGGATGAAAAAAAAAAAACAGATAACAGGTATCTTTACCAAGAAAAAATCAGATCTAAGGATTTTGTTACTTGAATAATTATATTGAAACTACAAGGCAATCTATGAAATTAATATTAAGTGAGTTTATAGATAGCAAAAAAGAGGAAAATGACAGTCCAAACACATACAAATAAAAACTTCCAAAGCCACATTGGTAATATGCATAGAAGACTCAGATATTAAAACAAGGTGAGAGGCTGTGCTGTAGAACTGAAACTCTCTCAAAGTGGGGTGCTAGGTATACATTTTGATCAAGAACCTGGATAGCCAAAACACCTTTCTTTATGCATGAAGGGTGACTGTAAATTTTACTTTCCTGTTTCTTATTTTCTTCTCATCTCTCATTTTTGCATCTTAGCCAGTAGCCTATAAATCTCCTCAAAGAATAGATTTACACTTCTTTGTCTAACGTATCCACCATAAGTAGTATCACTCTCACACACACACAAACACACACACACACACACACACACACACACACACACCAGATACCTTCTAATTAACGCAAGGGACTGACACCCAACTTAAACAAAAATAGAAGTTAAAAACAAAAGAGTAGGTCTGGTTTCAGGCTCAGCTAGATCCAGGATTTCAAACAATGACATTTCTCTTTCTCTCACTATTTCTAAGAGAAGTGTGATGAGCAAGACAGACACCACCAGCATGACATTCATATTCTTTTCGCACAGTAGCCCAAGCAGCAGATGGCAAACTCCCTGACAGCTCTGGCTGTCAGATCCCAAGAAGGACTCAGCTTTGCCCAGCTTGAGTTATGTACGTATCTTTGAACTGATCACTCTTTCCAGGAGGAAGGGGAATTTCACTCAGCTGTATTCCTGGAATGATGGATGTCAACTCCAAGATTCCCAGCAGAATCAGTTGCATTAAATGAGGAGCAAATCCTACAAAATCAAGTATAGAGTAGGTGAGGAAAGAAGGAATGAAGGAAGGGGAGGGAGAGAAGGAGGAAGAGAGAGGAAGGAAGGAAGGAAGGAAGGAAGGAAGGAAGGAAGGAAGGAAGGAAGGAAGGAAGGAAGGAAGGAAGGAAAGAAGGAAGAGGGAAGGAGGGGGAGAGAAGAACACAGAAGGAAGGGAGAGAAAGATGGATGGATGGAGGAAGAAAAGGAAGGGAGGGAGGAAGAAAGGAAGGAAAAAGAAATGAAATGGTAGGAAGGAAAGAACTATATGCATGAAATTTTCAAAAATGATTTTTGGGAGAATTTATTCCAGTTATTGAATATGGATTATTCAATAGACAGACAACTTCCCTGATATATATGAAGGAGAAGCTACCTTCCCATGCCACGTGACATGTTAGGGTCAGAACTGCATGTTATATTCTGCTGAACTACCTCTGACTTTATTGGATATGAAAAGGTGATTTCCAGGGAAAATGAAGATGATCATAGCCTTTATATAAGTCAACACCATCAGCTACTTCAAGGAATTTCTTTGCTATAGTGCTGCAAAATGAGAGTAGTCTCAGGGGAAAGTAAATTGCTAGATAAAAAAGAAAGCTAACATGTTCTCCAAAGACCATTCTCTTTAAAGTAAATTCAGTCTGACACTAAGATGGCTATAATAACAAGGAAGATGATAACAAGGAGTGGGAATGGGGGCAAATTGAAAGTTTCAGACACCATTCATGGAAATGTAAAATGGTGCATTTGCTTACACATGAAAACATTATTCAAATAGGCAAAACGTAGAAACAACCCAAGTGCCCATCAGTGCAATGGTATGTAGGAACAGTAGCTAGTTATAAACAGCAATGAAGTATTAATACACACTATGGCATATACAATCCTTGAAAACATGGCGCCATGGGAAGAAAAACCAAGCTGAAGAGGCCACATGTGGTACAATTCCATTTGTCTTCCAAGATGGACAAATCAATAGAGAAAGTAAGTGAGTGTTGCCAAGGAATTGGAGGTAGAGGAACTGAGAAGTGTACGATTTCTTTAGGGGTTTTCTCTAGGGGATGATGATAATTCATAAAGATAGCTTTGTCAGGGTAGTAAAATCCATTAAGTCACACACGAGCTAGGCTAGCTAGCTCTGGATGATAAATTACCGATTGATAGGTAGGTGGGTGATAGAAACATAAAGAAGGCAGCCTGACCGATAGACAAATAGATAATAAAATTCTATTTAAGCACTTGCCAAGGGCCTCCCACATGCTAATTAATCCCTGTACTTCCTGGGGAGGTAGAAACACAGACAAAACATCAATGGCACCTGCTCTCAGGAGGCGCACCAAAAGAGAATATCAAGAGTAAAGGCAATGAGGACCAAGCTTTTCACCTTGGTAAAGAGACAGTTACAAGACTTTCCTTAAGAAACAACCAAAGATCCGTATCAGACATTGTGTGATCTCTATTATTTTTTTTAAAAATTATTGTAAAGGTGCTGTATAGAGGGGAAACAGTTACTTAAGTCGGGTAATGAGTACATTTCTTTCTGTTACCCCC